ACACATTCCCAGCCCACTTGGAGCTCTGTCAGTGCCCAGTGGTTCCTTTTTCTCCCGTCTGAAGAAGTAAGTACCCAGGTGAGTGATTTGTGCAGGTTGATGAGGCCTGTATAGATAAGAGCAAAGAGTGTTTCAAAATTTTCTGGTCTTGGGATTCAAGGAGTCTCATTCCTCAGCTTAGCACATCCTGTACTTCAGTGTGATCTGAGGAAGACACCTCCTTTCACAAAGGTGGGTGAGGCAGCTGGGAGCCTAGAATTGGCCAAGGGGTGACGTGAGATTCTCTCTCCAGGAGCCTGGGCTGCACAGTGGTGGAAATGCTGACAGAGAAGCCACCTTGGGCAGAGTATGAAGCTATGGCCGCTATTTTCAAGATTGCCACCCAGCCCACCAACCCTCAGCTGCCTTCCCACATCTCTGAACATGGCCGGGACTTCTTGAGGCGCATTTTTGTGGAGGCTCATCAGAGACCTTCAGCTGAGGAGCTGCTCACACACCACTTTGCACAGCTCGTATACTGAGCTCTTAAGGCCACTGCTGCCGGCTGCCCCGTGCTGCACAGGCGGGGGCTGCTGTGGGGCGCAGTGAAGTTGCTGCTTCTCCCAGACCAGGCTGTGGACCTTGGAGCTGCAATCCAGCCAGCGTTTGTCTGTGCCCCTTCTGCCAATGGGGCTCAGCTAGGATGGGATGGCTGTAGCCTCAAGGACTGGGAGCCCCCAGCCTGCCAGACCCAAGAGCTCCAGTGTCTTAAGCTCAGTGTGGAGGGAAGGGGCTGGGAAAGAGTGTAAGGCAGCTGCGGGCCCTGCCCTTGGGGTTGTCCTGACACTGCCATTGACTGGGAAGCCTGGGGTGGGGGGTACAGGACTGACTCAAGGGTATGAATAGTGTTATTTTCATTCAGAGTGTTATTTTGTTTCTCCTCCCAATGTCTGGAGATCACCAGGGTGTCTCTGGGCTGGATGAGCCCACTCAAGCCTGAGGTTAAGCCCAGTGTCCCACAAATGAGGGAAGACAGAGGCCCAAGTCAGTTTTGCCAGTCCTAGTCTTTACCAAAGATGAATGAAGCAAATGTTATGCTGCCTTATTCAGGGAAGGAGGAACATATCCTGCCTGCCCCAATGACTCTGCACCCCCAAGCAGGAGCCTGAGACATGGCTGCCCCCACTCAGGGGGGAGACCCAGTTTTGTCAATGCAATTGTCTCTGTTTTACAAGTTGGAGTCACTCTTATGCTGTATCCAGTTTCTAAACTGGAGACTGTGCCCTCTGGGTTCTGAGTATCCCTGTGTGAGCCTGGGCTTTGGGCTGGATTCTAAAGAGTTGATGGGATGACCTTTGTGCTTCTGGCCTGGCATGTTTCCTCATTGAAGCAGAGAGGAAGGTGGACAACTCAGTGGGCCCAGCAAGGCTGTTCAGGAGAGCCCAGGGGTTGTCTCTGCCTGTCAGTCATGTCCCTGCCAGGCCAAGCCCACTCCATCTAGTAGAAGGGAAAGCCCATGTGCTGCAACCAGCAGTGTCCAAAACCACCAGCTCTGTTCTTCCTTAGCCTTGCCCATCCCTGTGAGGTCTCAGCCTCTTTCCCTTCTTGTTCCTCCCCTGAGGGAGGAATGGCAGTGGGGAGCCAGTATCTCCAAGCAGCTTAGAGTTGGCCATATTTACCTCAGCTTGGGCGCTGGTCCTTTCTTCCGGCCCCTCCCCTCCAAAATGTGCCTATTGCTAGAGCTCCTCCCTCCCAACACCCAGTTTCCTTGGGAGTTATCATAAAAGAAAGAAAGAAAAAAAAAAAAAAAAAAGCTAGTGCCCGTGGATGGGCATCTCCAGGGAGCTGGGGATTAGCGCTAGGCAGCTCACTGCCAGCCATGCCCACTACCCCGCGGGCACAGAACAAGCCAAAGCCTTCGTTGTATGTTGACGATGCACTTTTATGAATGTAGTTTCTATCGCTGTTTTTAGCCTTTTCACATCATGTAATGTGAGGCCTTGTACTTGTTAATTTATATCTCAGATCATATTTGATGGTTTTTATATATCAATTCTAGACTGTTACAGGTGATGGACGCCTCAAGAGAGAGAAAATGAAAGCAGCTGGTTTTGCAGAATGTGTGTTGCACGGTGCCAATTGGGCCTGGGCCCCCTTCCATCCCTTTTCCCCTGGGGCCTCTGTCAGGCCACTTTCTACCCATCACTGCCCTCTGAGGCCAGTGAGCACACATGCTCCTGCCTCTACCTCGGCCCTTGCCCAGGGTGGGGACTGGCCCCTCATCTTGACCAAAGCTGCCAAGAGGCAGCTCGGCCTCTCCAGGACTCCATCCTGATGGCTGTAGCACTCCTTGGCCCATACCCTGTCCCCAGTCCCCATTTCCCAAGAGGAAACAGAGCATGGTGCCACTGATTAGACTAAGTGAGACGACTCTGCTACTCTGCATGACCCAGGTTCAGGCTCTTACAGAGCCCTACCCCTGGGGTCTTACCTCACAGGGATTATTTTTAAAATAAAATTTTAAAACAAGCCAACAAACCCTGCACTCCCCCCAAATCAAAAAAGACCGACTTTTGTGCCAAAAACTGTGGACATGCTGGATCAGCATCCTCAGGACCAAGCTGTTGCTTAATTTTAATTTATTTTTTTTATTATTAACTAATCAAGATTAAAAATTCTGGGACTCTAGGATGGCCTGGGCCCCAAAGTTCTGGAGGGCAGTTTCCTTGCAGCCCCAGGCTTGCCATGGCAAGGGGCCATGCTACCATTTTCTCACCATTCCATGGGGTATGTTTGCCTTGGCCAACCCCACACATAAGGGCCAGGGCTGGGCCAGTTCGTGTGCTGCCACCCTTCTGCCCCTCTTGCCCTCCCAGCTCTGTGTCTGTGTCTGAATTGTGGATTGTGCAGAAGAACCTGCAGCCATAGTTATTTGACTGTATCTTGACTGAGGGCTTGCAGTGCAAAGCCAGGCCAGTGTCACGCATTACTTACAATAAAAGGGATCATTTATACCAGGGGGGTCCTGTGCGGTGCTTTTGGTTGGGGGTAGTAGGTGTATGCCTGGGAGGGGCTGGGGATGGCACCTAGTAACAAGGTTCCTTAAGCAGGAGAGAACTTGATGCCAAGAAGAGGGGCCTTGGCATGACTTGGTTAGGTACCACTGTTACCTCAGTGTGCCCTCCTTCCTCCACTCCCTCTCCCTTTCTAGGACCTCTCCTGAAAGTGGTAAATTAGGGCCAATTTACTGAGGCACTGTTGGCCTTTCTGACCTAAACATCACCAGTGGCTTAGTTCCTGGGACCCTCATGGCATCTAGTAAGGTCTTCTTTTGAGGCTCCCCTTGGACCCATCCTGCAGGGCATTATCAGAAACCACCTCCAACATCTCTCCTTGGCTCAGCTGCTGCTGTTGCTTAACTTTGAGCAGAGACTGTCCTTATCCCCAACAGAGGCCTCACTATAGGAAGTTGGGCTTTCCCTGAGTGAGGCTCTTAACAGCTCCCAGGATCCAGGCCTTGGGTGCTGTTGGCTTACTAAGCATTGTGTCTACTTCCTCAAGGAGCAGTGCTTACCTCAACAGAGCACAGTGGCTCATCTGTCACCAGGAATTGAAACCAATTCCTACACACTGCTTATTAGTAAGTTGAGTTGTATGGGGCAGTGGCAGCAAGTCCTAGAGGTGTCTATCCTCTTGCTCCACCACCTTATCTATCCCACAGGCAGTTTGGAGAAGTCAGGACAGCTGGGTCTGCGCAGCAGAACCCAATCTTCCAAGATTGCCTTGTTTCTCTGCTATATATACACTGTCGCCTCTCAGTGTGCCTGGGCTCTCACAACAGCTGACAAACTCTCCTTGGATGACCTGATAGGGGTAGCTGTGGTTGCCCCACTCCCCAGAACATAGCAATAAGAGGGGCACAAAAATGAGGGACAAAAGGAAACCTTTAGCAACACTTGCCAGGTCTGTGGGTTCCCACATTCCATGCAGATTTCCAAGGCAAAGGAATAGGATTGGGGAGCTGACAGCTGGGAACAGCCCATAGAAAGGGGTTAGACTCTGCTGAAGGGTTCTGCCTTGGGCCCTGCCCCCCAGGTGTAGCAAGGCAACCAGATGACATTGATGCTTCTGGTTCCTCTCTTCAGAACAGGGGTGTGGATGTGAGGCCATGGGCTTGGGAAGTCAACCAACCCAAAGATCAAGGGAGAGTGAAGTTGCAGTTACAGAATCACACTGTTTGTGCGGCACCCTGGCTGAGCAGAGAGCACCCCTTTTCTCAAGCAGCTTGTATTTCCTTGATACTGCTGCCCCTCCATCAAAGCCAGGAGTGCTCTGGGCTAACCCTGAACCCCTTCCCCTCCCTGTGGTCAATGGGCATCCTGTCACAAGAGCCCCCACAACAGGCCACATAATAAGAGTCAGGATCTGTTTAAACATGTTTAAAACAGGGTTATCACAACAGTCAGAAGGCAGAAATGAGGGAGAGGAGGGGGCACGGCTGCTGCTGGCCCCCGAAGGTCTCAGAAGCGCTCAGCCTGGCGGGGACTTTAGCTTCATGGTGCAAGGGGGTCCCAGCCCCAAGGCAGTGGGCCCTGCCTTGCCTTCTACTTCCCCATTCCCTCCCCCATCAGCTGCTGTGGCATCCTTGAGGTCCAGCAGGTGACACTCTCACTCTCCTTCCTCCCAGTCTGTGGCTCAGGACCAGGCTAAGGACAGAGGTAGATGGGGAGACATGGGGGCCAACATGGCCCAGGTGGCAGTAAGGGAGCTTGGGACCCTGAGGGGGGCATGCTGACTCCTTGCTGGAGAAAAGGCACCTAAAAAGGGAAGCTGGGCTTGGCGGCCTCCCAGGGGGCCATGTGGTGAGGTGGGGTGGGCTGAAGGAAGCAGGGTGAGCAAACCCCAATCCTGGTTCCCACCCCTTGACCCCCACTGAAGGAGAAGGAAGGAATCCTGGAGCAGAGCCCTGCCCCGGAACCTTCTGCCTGAGCAAGCCTCCCCCTTCCCACCCTGCCCCCTACTCAAACCCAGAGAATCTTTTTCCCGCCCTTCCCACAGCCCAGTTCCAGGCCCTCCGCTGAGGGAGTGGATGGTCAGAGGGGCCTCAGGCTGTCTTGGTGCCGGGGTCCACCTCTTTGTGGGCCCAGAGCTCCTTGTGCTGTTTGCGGCCGAATCCCTCATCGTAGTTGCCTTTGCTCTTAAACAGCTGCTGAAAGTGGGGTTTGCAGTAAAACTCACCATGCAGCGCGGCATAGCTGCCCAGACTGCGGAAGCAGAGCAACAGGGTCAGGCGGGGTCAGGACTAGAGGCAGGGCAAGGGGTGGGCAGGGCAGGGTCGCACCTGAGCTTGGTATGGCAGTGCTTGCAGCAGAAGCAAGAGTTGTGGAAAATGAGCTTGTCTGCCACCAGCCGCTCCATGGGGTACACAGTCTTCTGGCAGGCGGCACAAGTCTCCTTCACCTGGGCCCGCAGGCTGAAGGACTGTTTCGAGGGACGCTCAGCCAGGAGCCTGGCCAGCGCCCACTCCTTCCTCCACCCTCACCCACCCTTAGGGCCCTACCTTGGAGCGCTGCACAGCGCTGTTGCCACCGCTGCTTTTGGCTTCCTGAGAGACAGACAGTCAGGGCAGGCTCTGAGGCGGCCCAGCCCAGACCTAGGGGCAGTCAAGAGGGGGCAAAGGGTGCCCGGCAAACACACAGCTCCTCTCCCCTCGTCCCTCCCACCCGGCTGGTCACCTACATGAGAGGGGGTGGCCTGGGCGGCTCCCGAAGCCTGGAACATGGCTTGTCGGAGGTGATGGAGGCCCCAGGCAGAGACGCGGCACCGGCTGGGTTCTGCAAGGGGAAGTCAGTCGATGGGGCCCCACGAGCCTTCTCCAGGCTGCAGGGTGGGGGTGTTTACAGGCAGGGGGCTGGGGGGCTGTGGTTGGGACTTTCCCTAAGTCATTTCCTGTTGCTCTCGGTTTTGCCACTTCCGCCCCTCACCCACCCTCTTGCCTGCCCGTCCCCCACGCTGCTCCCCAAGGGGCAGGGGTCCTGGAGTGGAACCATGTGTGGGAAAAGAACAAAGTTATGGGGCAGCGGCCGGGCACAAAAGGTCCCGCGCAGCCTCCTCGTGCGCTCCGCAGACTGGGACCCCTCCTGGGGTGAGGGGAGGACAGGGGAGGGCGGGGCGGACGCGGCCCGGCGAAAACCCGCTGCCCCAGCCTGACTCGCGCCGCACGCTGCCCGGCGCGGGGCCCAGGCACCCAGCCCCTGGACAGCGCCCCGGCCCGGCCGCCCGCCCCGCCCCGCCCCGCCCCGCCGCGCCGCAGCCCCAAGTCGGCCCCGGCACCTTGGACCCGGGGAAGCAGACCCCAGACCCGGGACTCCCGCGGGCCCCACCCTCGCTGGGGACCGGCCCTGAAGGCAGACACTAGCCTCGGGGCCGACGGCGAGAGCGAAGCACAGAGTCGCGGGGCGTTGGGACCCCGCGGGCGGAGGCAGAGGCGGCCCTCGTCCCCCACCTCGGCGCCTGGGCCCTAGAGCCGGATGCTGGCCCCTCCCCCCGGGCGCCCGCGCGTCTCACCGGGCCCCGGCCTGGGCCGCGGGGCGGGGGTCGGTCTCCGGGGGCCGCCTCGAGTGGGAGGAAGGTGAGGGCGCGAGCTGCCGCCGCTGCCAGTGGTCCCCAAGCGGCCACCGCCGCCGCCGCCTTATCGCGGCGCCGCCCCCGCCGGCCCCCGCCCCGCGCCCGCCCATTGGCTCCGCCGCGCCCGGAGCCGCCTCCGGGGCCCGGGCGCCGCCGCCGACCCCCCTCTGCGCTTTGTCTTTCTCCGACTCGCCGTTCCCCCGCCTTTGTCTGCCCCCCGCGCCGACCCCACGCAGCCTCTCGGGCTTGCCGGGCTCCAGGGACCGGCCGCCCCGTCTGCCGGCTCTCGACGACGCCGGGCCGTGGGCAGCCGCGCTTGAAGAAAAGAGAGGTGGGGACAGGAGCCCGAGGTTCCACACCGCCCTCTCCTGCGGGGACCAGTGTAGGCTCTGGTTTCAGGACACGACGCTGCTGGCACAGCCCCTTCGAGCTTGCCTGAGCCTTTCGCTGCCTCAGTTTGCCCGTTGGCCCTCGTGGTCGCAGGTTTCCGGCAGCTCCTGTTCCCGCCCCGCGCAGTGTGGGCCCCGCAGCCTGAGAGACCCCACTGGGGCGACCCCGGAGGCAGGGCAGGGACCTTGGGTTCGGCTCCCGTGCCCCCTCGGGTTGCGGGGTCCTCCCGCCGCCAGGGGCCGCTCCCGCGCCCGCACAGCCCGCGGAGAAAGATGGCAGCGGCACGCGGTCCCGCCAAGCCCCGCCGCGAGGCTGCGAGGCCAGTGWTAGGGGCCGCAAGGAGGGCTAGGGGCAATCGCTGTCAGTGGCCTTGGCTGGCCGCTTGCCACGGAGCTGACCTGCATGAGAGGTCGGGCAGGGTTGCTACCCCAATGCGCCTTCTGCTGCCCGGTAGACAGGGGCGGACAAGGCTGCTGGCCGCAGTTTCCCAGAGCACCCACTGTCCCAGGGCCGGTGTCTTGAAGCCTTTCTGTGGCCTGACTTTGTGGCATTACTAATGTTACCCGCAACCCGATCCAGGGCCCCTGCCTGTTTTCTGGCTGGTTGGATTCGGCTGCAGCCCGCATAAGAAAGAGGCAAAAGAAAAGGAAAAGTGAACTTTATGCAGTTTGACCAAACTGGAAAGAAACAGCTAGATTGCTTCTCTAGCCCGTGACACTGAAGCCGCCACAACTTACAGAAACAAAAGCCAGGTGATATGCATATGTAGATTTAGTTGTCCTGAAGAGAGGCAAAACGGGACAAAATAYACATATATTTAGTGAGCCTGTGCTCCATAGGCCAAGCAGGAGTCTCCCTCTCAGCTTCTTTGGCAACTTTTAGAGTGAGGGTTGCAGCCTTCCCTTTCCATTCTCCTCGAAGAAGTTCCTCTTAATTCAGCAGGTCCTTAATTCAGTCTGTTTCACTAACGTCTGGCCCTCCAAGAATACCAGGGGCAAGTCCTCAGGGAAAGAATTATTCCATCCCACCAGCAAGCAAATCTCTGAGCACCCAAACCTCATTCTGCAAAAGGGAGCTAAGGCCTAAAAGTTTGAGGTGACATTCAGGGGAACAAAGTTAGTGCAGGAGCATTGCCTCCTGCAGGTGTGCCCTGCACAGAGCAGGTCTAAAAGTGCCACTTGCGAGTGGAACCTCAGCTGTGCTGGGGTCCCTGTGGACCTCTGCAAAGAGGCTGGGGCTTTCTGGGTCCCAGCGACTCATTTGGCTTTGCTTGAAACCAGGCTGGAGGCTGTTTCACAAAACACAGCCCTAAACAGCATGTTCCCACACTGTGGCAGGAATAGAACTGGTGGCTCCAGATTGGGCCCACACACTTGTCAGGGAACAGAACAGCTCCCTGCCTGCCGCCTGGCAAGGAAGCAAGGAGCTGCCCAGCCCCCAAACATTTTCCTGGCTGGCTGGATGCACCCACACTGTATTTGGTTTTCTCTGTCAGCCCTCTGGCTCACCTATAAAGAAACCTGTGTTTTCCTGGCACTGTGGGCCTGAGAATTCCCTTATAGGTGTGAGAACCCTCCACAACTGCATGTGTCTCTGGGGAAAGTGTCCACACCTGTCATCCAAGGGAGCTGTTTGATACAAGAAAGGTGAAGCCCTCCCAGACACTAGGAGCAGGCTTCTTGGCTACAGAGCACTATCTGGGAGCCAGCCCTGAGGACCATATTCTGCCCAGGACAATCTGTGGGCTGAGTTGCAGGAAACTATCACAAGATCAGTAGTTAGGTGTTGAGGATGAGCTGACTGCGTGGAGAAGGCAATCTGGAAGGAAAGAAAACTAATATGGTGATATGTTGTTAAGAAAAGGAAATTTAAGGCTGGTTACAATGGCACATGTTTGTAATCTCAGGGACTCAGGAAGCTGAGGCAGGAGGATCACAAGTTCAAGGTCAGACTCAGCAAATTTAGCAAGACACTGTCTAAAAAACTTTTAAAAGTTTTTTAAAACTTTTAAAAGGGCTGGAATGCAGCCCAGTGATAGTGGTAGAATGCCCCTGGGTTCAATCCCTAGTACCAAAAAAACAAAACAAGGGAACTTAAGACTCCATGAAAAAATGAACTGGGTAGGGGTTAGGAGAAGTGCTGGAAACAGATGTAATGGAAGCTTCTCACTTGCATTTCAGGTCCTCTACCCCTAACTTCACCTCAGCTCCTGTAAATGCTCAAGGGAAGAAATATAAATGTTTTCTTTAAACTGGTGTTAAAATTTCTCAGGAAGTGGAAAGTAAGGGTGTTTGATAGTTCAGAGCAAGCTCAGGGAAAAGGGAGGGGCACTTCCTTAATCTGACATTTGCAGTGCATGGGCCAGAGTCTTCACCAGAAAGGACCAGCAAGACAGAAAAGCACTGTGCTGGGCATGCACAAACACATGCAAATGAACGTGCACATGTCTATGAAGCACCACAAAGGAGACCAAGGTTGGAATCATCCTTTTGCTCCCATTCATTGGCTGACAAGAACGACGGGGCCAGGAGCAAACACCTATAACCCAAGCAACTTGGAAGGCTGAGGCAGGAGGATCACAAGTGTTTGGAGTCCATTCTGGGTAACTTAGTGAGAGAGACCTTGTCTCAAAATAAAAAGAGCTTGGGCTGGGGATGTGGCTCAGCGGTAGCGCGCTCACCTGGCATGCGTGC